GGAGAGTGAATACGGTGCGTGATTTACATAAAATATTATTTAAAATCCGGTCGCATTTTTTTTTTCTTCAAATATTTAATTTGACAATGCACCTTTGAATAAGCTTTCAACATTTTTCTAAGTTAAAGTGGCAATCGTAGCTTCTCTAATATTACATAATATGGATTTTGCTATGAAGGCAGATTTCGTCATAACGCCAGTTTTCTGGTTGTAGTTACATGTGTGCGTCATAAATTCATCTAATGATTGATAACCACTCTGATTTCAATTTGCTGTATATTAAGCTCAAAACTGCTACCTCCGGTTTCCTCCCACACAAACAAGAATGATTAATATAAGTTGAAATAATTTGTTTCATAATTATTGTGAACTAAATAGTATTCCATAAATTCCGCCACTAGACACACTACACCGGTTTATCAGTTGCGTTGTTTTGATATGTTAATCGCGGGCTTCAATATCTGCCACAGTTTGAATGGTTGTAAACATAGGAACCTTCTCGCCGAGAAGCGAACACGGTGGATATATCCGATATCTAATCTACAAGTTTTGACCAACAGGCAGATTTTAATGTTTTACTCCAATGTTTACAAATTTTAATAAATGTATGGCATTCAAGCAATAAGAAAACAATCATCAGCTTCACGAAAGCTAGACCTGGTGCATGTCTAATCGGTTTCAGTGCAAAGGATAAAGGTCAGATGAAGAGTTTCGTTGTTTATAAACGAAAATGCTGATGAGCAGCCTGGGATTTGTACTCGCATGGTTTCTATTATGTGGGTTCACAGTAAGGCACATCATGTATGCTTAGCCTACTTTTGTCAGTTTGTGTTTGTGTATAAATACCTCTCTAATTACGACACGACTTCAAAAGAAGACGTACATAACTTACTACTTCAAATTGGACAGACTTTAAGGAAAAAAAACCCATAATATTATGATCTTGCCAGGTTGAAGCCGAACTAAATTATAAGTATACCTTTATTCCATGCATATGTGACATATCGTGACATTTAAATTAATAAAAATTATCAGAAGTTTTACTAGAATGTGGAAATGTAAAGACATTCTGGGGGTTTTACTTGGTTTTTGATAAATGATATATTCTGGGGTTTGTCTTTTACAAAATTGTGTACCAAATGAAGTTTGTTTATCGAGTTAAAGCCTTTCAGTCTCAATGTTAGTGATAAGGGTGGACTAAGGGACATAACTGCTACAGAGATTCTCAAAATAGACCAGGAAGTATTCGGGTAATCGTTAACAAATTGTACACCAGTTGTGTGACCATCGACCTGGTCAGTATGACACTGGACAGACGATTGCAGTGTTTGGTATGGCTGTACATCACCACACTCCAAGGTAAGATTACTTATATAAGGTGAAGGGAGAGTAAATATATAACACCTGGCTATAATTATGGATACCCTACTTCCTTGTAGCTGGTGCATTTACGACAGTAACAACTAGTAAATAACATGCATATACCTTCAATGGTATGATTCTATAATAAAATAAAATACCTACAATGGAAGTTTATTGAACAACACACATATATATATATACACTCCTTTACTTATGATATGCTATGTGCCTCAATGCTATGCTCCTATACTTTGTTTTTTGTTCTCGTACATGTTACAGGGTTTGTCATACGTTCCTGATCGTTCGCTCTATACATAGAAACTCGCGTTGTGGTTTTATTCACATAAATAGTAATAGATGTCACTGATTGTAAATCGCGAAAACAGAAAACCGTTTAATTTAAATATCGTGCCTTAATTATAGAGTAGTCCCTTATTAAATTGAGTAAGGCAAAAGTGGCTAACTGTTGGAAACTAAGTTGGTAGTATATACATGTATTAAAAAAAAAACACTTGATGAAATTACTGCATTTTTAAAATCTCAAGGATATCCTGAAAATATTGTTGAAAAAGGTAAAAGTATGGCAATTGAAAAGGGACCTTTAACAGCCCGCACTCTTGTTGTAGATGATGTGGCTATGATGCCATTTGTTTCTACTTTCAACCCTCGTAATTTCAACATATTTCCAGTAATCCGGAACAGATGTGAAGATTTGATACGAGGTAGCGAACGTATGAAAAAAGTCTAGGATCGTTGTGCTTTAACAAACAGCAAAAGACAACCAAAAAATCTTAAAAGTATTCTAACTAGATTGAAATTTGAAATTCATCATCTGAATACATGTGTATCAACATGTATTGCACCTCGTTGTGGTACTTGTAACCTTATTATAGAAGGAAGCGATGTTAAGTTCAAAAATAGTTTTAGCTTTAAGGTTAAAAAAACACCATATGCATTGTAAGTCTAGTCATGTAATTTACGCATTGATTTGTAACATTTGTCTGAATTTTATATCGGGCGGTAATCAGCTATGAACAAGAATGACTGTACATAGACAGCAAATACGAACAGACAGCTTAAGATTTTTACCGGTTAGTAAACACATACACGCTTACGCTGATGACAAATTTAAAATATCTCCTATTTATCAAATGAACAACTCTGACGTAATCAAACGTGAGGCTAAGGAAGCTGAATTCATTAGACTTATTAGAGCCCGTTTGGACACTACTGTTTGACTAATAATTTAAAATGTTCTAACTTCATGTTACGTTTAAGGTAGAGAGTACCCCTGTATTTGAAAGGATGTGCATTATCGTGTTTGTTTTTGTCTATAGAAGAGTTATGTTTGTGAAGTAGTGACATCGGTAGTGTGTCGGATTACTATTGTAATGGTCCCGAGTTCGCCCCACACAGGGAGAGTTTCAATGTTAATTTTATTTTGTTGTTGTTATATTTTTTTTATAAATAATAGTATTACTAGTAATCCTAAATCCTAAACAAATAGTACTCTTAAGACTATCGTTATGTGACGTCATAATAATCTCCTAGAAGAGATGAAAGTACTAAAGACTCGTTGATTTTTTTCTTTTTATAACATGTATTAAATATATATATATTACACTGACAGTTTTTAAAACGTAACTTTATTATATCTTTAAATCAAAATTGCGTATTAAATGTATTTTTTTGGCGACAAAGGCGTGCATTATTGATTCCCTATGTTTACATGGGGATTGAATGGATTCATTAACGCTAACGCGCTCAACAGGCTATGTAGGTCAGCTACTGCTATTCATTGCCGCAATGTGCATGATCAAAAAATCCATTCAATTCATATATTTACGTTACGATGAACTACAATACAAAATTTTCAAAAAAAATTGTAAATGTAATGAGGTCATGATATATTATGACGTCACACTACTGAACCTACCAAAATTGACGCCGAAATTAACAATGCACTTTAACCCTTTGCCGCGTGCATTTTACGTTATATGCCTTTTTGTGCCGCCAAGGCCGATCAGATTTGAACTTAAGTGTTGACGTCATAATGGGATACAAGTATGACGTCATGACCTTTATTTCACCCCATGAAGGTGTTTTTTTCTGAAACCATCTATCCTAACCCTTTTTTCTTTTCATTTCTTTTTATCATGTGTCATTTTAAACATATTTGAAATTGAAATTTTATGTCATGACATACTAGCTTCAGATCATTTTCATCTTCCTAAATTTCTACTTTAAATGTATAAACGTTGTAACTAATAATGTGAATCACGCCTGAATACTTTTTTTGTTTTACCCTTTTCCCAATGTAATGTACAAACCATTACTGGGTTGTGCTGTAAACTGTTAGAGACTTCAAAGTAAAGTATGAGCTTATTTGGAAATTATTTAAAACTCAATTTAGGATGAACATTTCTAGGCAAGATGAACTAAAAGAAGCAATTATGTTAAAAGCCTACTAATCGGTCTGGTGTTAGTTCTTTGCCAACACTAGCAATTTGGAAAATAAAATCATAGAAATTCGTACAACAGTTTTTTTGGAAACTCTGAAATAATAAGATCTATCCGTTTTGTAACGGGTCCGTAAAATGTGCCTTCTTCACGAAAGAAAGTCATAATTGTCACTTTCTGATAAAATGACAAACACATTTTCACCTTTGAAAATAATATGATACATGTACATCGACAGGTCTTTACGAAATATTAATGAACGATTGAACGTACATTGTGACGATTTAAGGACAGAACCTTACATTGACGGTACAGTGTGACAACTTTAGGACGGGACTGTAAAATATGACAATTACAGGACGGGACTGTACAGTATGACAATTACACGACGGGACTGTACAGTATGACGATTACACGACGGGACTGTACAGTGTGGCAATTACAGGACGGGACTGTACAGTGTGGCAATTACAGGACGGGACTGTACAGTATGACAATTACAGGACGGGACTGTACAGTGTGGCAATTACAGGACGGGACTGCACAGTATGACAATTACAGGACGGGACTGTACAGTATAGCAATTACAGGACGTAACTGTACAGTGTGACAATTACAGGACGGAACGGTACAATATGACAATTACAGAACGGGAATGTGCAGTTTGACAACTACAGGACGGGCCAGTACATTATGGCAACTACAGGACGGGCTGTACCGTGTGACGTTAACAGGACCGGACTGTACATTGTGGGGATAACAGGATGGGACTTGTAGAGTGTGAGGATAACAGGACGGGACTGTACAATGTGGGGATAACAGGACGGGAATGTACAGTGTGGGGATAACAGGACGGGAATGTACAGTGTGGGATTTGCAGGAGGGGACAGTACAGTGTGACAAGTATAGGACGGGATTGTACAGTGTGACGGGAGTGTACATTATTGTGATAACAGGACGGGACAGTAGAGTGTGGGGTTTTCAGGAGGGGACAGTACAGTGTTACAATTACAGGACGAGATTGTACAGAGTGACGGGAGTGTACATTATTGGGATAACTGGCCGTGACTGTACAGTATGACGACTACAGGACGGAACTGTACAGTATGACAATTACAGGACGGGACTGTACAGTGTGACGACTACAAGACGGGACTGTACATTGTGACAATTACAGACGAATGCATTAATTATTTAGTTCTGACTTAAAAAAGAATTGTTTGACAACATAATTCAGGCATGCATATACATGTTGGAAAATTTCAAACAACTCTCATACTTTGTTTTCCCATGAAAACCTTTCAAAAAGTCTGGGCAAGCGAAGTACTTGTGTGTACAGTCAGCTCCAACGAAAACAGGAGACAAAAATACCCAATAGGTGAAGCATATCTTCCTGGCATATTTTTACGGATTACTCATGATCTATAGGCTATGTTGGAAGAACTCTTATCCTTGGTTGGTAAACGTCAACCATTATACAGATGATCATGATGTCACAACCCTGATGATGTCATACTCCTCACCTCAAATTTAGCGGAATAATGTCATACACGCATTAGGCGGATAGATACCGGGGCCAATGAGGTCAGAATCCCTCTTATGAAAAAAAGGTAGAAAAGTTCATTAAAGGAGAGATCCCCTCCCACGCAAGATAAAAGGATCAATGCCAGTCTAGATGAAAAATCGAAAAAAGGTACAATGCGTATTTATATGAATTGTGTGATCATTGTGAGTAAAATCAGCTGACTGGTTGCATGAGTATCGTTGTAAGCATAGTGTGTTTATAGTATAAAGGCAGTTGTTTTCAGTTGATATATTTATGTAGAAAACAAACATCAAGAATGCAAATATAATAAAACGTACTCAGCATGTGGTTGTTCACAGTTCACACAAAGCAGCCACATGATGTTTTACCTTAATAGAAAGCATTGGGCAGAAAGATACTAGAAAGATTGACAAGAATCCAAACCTGAGATATGCTTTTGATTATAGACTTTAACGTTAGGCAAAATATGCTTGCTTGAATGTCTGTATTATTGCATGTAAGTACTTAATTAATACGAGACATACGTATACCGATCAGTTACATGTATTGTTCACATAATACAGTAACACTGATTATAGGTTCGGCAACGTTCAATTTTGATACTTTATTTAAAAGTATTTACGTCCAGTATAATTAGAATGTGACATATAACCTTAAAAAGCCGTAAGCCAAGATATGTTTAATTGGGGTAAAAATAGAGATAACATGCAACCAATCTCTGTACAACAAACTTACATCTAAATTAATGTCAACAATGACTATATATTTATATACTCAATATCCACACGGACCAAACTAACAATCCGTGCCTAAATATATCTACTGAACATAGTTAACACATACCATACTTTTGATAATCACTTTTCTCATTTGTACAGGTGTAACTGGATTATCCCTGGTGGTCAGTCCCTCTCCTACAGCCGAGATCGTATCCGGTCAGACCCTCAGTATCACGTGTCAGTGGACAGCTGACTACACAGGGTCAAATGCTGTTGTTAACTACAGACTGAATGATGGTGAAGGTAGAATAGGTACAATGTATATAAACTTTGGGACAGGATGTCCATCAGTACCACCACCCTACACACTTACCTGTAACAGAGACATGAGGACACTGGGGATACAGATTCCCGCCAACAGTTACAGTCACGGGGACAGATGGACGTGTGAGGGGAGAAATGACAACTTTGACAATACAACACCAACACAGACAGACACGACCACAGTGGACGTTATAGGTGAGATGATTTAATGTTTATGACAGAATAAACAGATTTGAAAATAAATTGGGTAGAGTATGTTTGAACTGTGCATTTACTTGTTGAATATACATGCGGGTGGGCTGCGTCAATGTCATTTACGTATGGTGATTAATTGGGGAAAAGGTACAATGTCTATACTTTTCCTGTGAAACACTAACATATGGCTTTTTTACATTATAACTGTTCATATTTATTTTGATGTGTTAACATGTGCATAGCATTGTCACTAGATAGTTGTGTCGTTGATTGGACTTCAAATGCCATGCACCACGGGACACAATGCTTAGCGTATTAATACAGCACAGACCGGAACACAATATCCGATGTAAACAAACATGACTGAAATATCGCAGGGCATTGTGAGACTTGACAATGCAATTGTAAATGTGTAAAAAACGAGAACATCTTTTTAAAATACTTATATTACAATAAAAAAACCACAAAGGTCTGCAAAATCATACAAAATACATCGGTTGAAATAACCTATGAAAATAATTTAAACACTCATACAATTTATCAGAAATATCCTCTGTAACACTGCACTGATCCAATTAAGACAGAATCAAACGATATTTGCCACTTTTTTCTTGGATTTGCGCGGCTTTTTTTGGTGATGAATTATCATCTAGCGTGAATGAAACTAGCACGCATTATGGTGTTTGCTTACAAAGCTGCGCCATTCAAAAACATCATATATGCAATACAAAAACAGTCCAACGCTTGAATAAAAGTATTACAATAGTAATATCCAAAAATATTAATTAAATATTATATTATATTATAGAGCTCTATTGTATATTTATCCCGCGCAGTTGATGTAATACACTGGTAATGTTCTGTATGTGCTCGTCGTTGATTTAATGCCCATTTTGTAGGGACACATGCTATTTTTGCAATACTAAAATGTTTTTTTTTTAAACTGTGTGAACGAACAGTCGTCCCACCCTCATAGACGTATCTCCCATTTTAGCTGGAGAAGATCACCGGGTTACCCCCTAGGAGGAGGTAGCCTCGTGCAGAATGGCGCGACCTTAGTCATAACAATACTATGATGTCACATCATCAATGCGTATGTGATAGGCGTCATGGTGAGCGGGAAACATGAAGGGTCGTGTGGTGAATGTGCCTTATTGTTTACATTGTAACTACATTTTACGAACAACCCACGTAAAATGGGTTAACAAACATACATTGATGGACATTTGAGGGCATATACGCGGATGTTGAAATCATGTATATACTGACAAAGTCCTAACCATATTTTGTATTAAAAGCTAACAGCGTTAATCTGATTTCTACAGATTAAGTGTACATTTTAAACAGGAGAAAGACAAAATGAATTGCAAGACCAGGGTTCGAACTCGGAACCCTCCGAACTGTAGACGGATGCTCTAACCAACTAAGCTACCTTGTCACTTGCGATCGACAAAGTTAAATTCCGCTACATTCCTCCCTCCTTTAACAAAGTCGTCGAAGACCCCGAAGACACACGAGACCCTAGACCACTTCGTGTGGGTATATTTCGTTGGGCGAAAGAGAGGATAAATGCACGGCCAGACCTTCGTTCGAACCCGGGACCCTCCGGACTCTAGACGGACGCTCTAACCAATTTAGCTATCTGGTCGCCGGCGATCGACCCAGTCTAGTTCCGCAACAGATTTAATATATAGTTAGTATATAATCTATTATTACTTATTATATTTATAGTAACTACGGATCTTCCGGATCCGTGATCAGTGAAGTAAATACGTTCAACAGGAGACATGTGTCCATGTAAACACAGCGCTTACCGGTAGAATCTTCGATGTGATTAAAACTTTTAATCTGTTAATATTACATGTGAGTGCTGTCTTAAAAGTCAGGCCTAAACTTATGTAATCTCCCTAGGTCATCGGTATAGAACAGATTGTCTACACATGTGCACAGTACCTACTGCGCAGGTCATGCTCTACTACGCCTAGCCTGCTCCCATAACCCCGTTCCCTAAGTCTCTTTCATTCATGCTGTTGTGTACTCTGCCATTCTGGACATAACTCAATACACTCCCCCTCAACATTATGATGGAATGTTCTGAAAATGAGGGAACGTAGTCACGACTGGGTGCGAGAAACCAATCTCGGGTTAACAAGCAGTACATCCTTCTTTATCGGACAATAAGTCCTTGTCAGCCAGACGAAGTAAACTGCATGTCTGGAGATGAAGTCTCCAGCAAACGTTGACCAGCTGTTCGTCGACTGTTATGAGTACCACAACCAGGATGTGGATAACCAAGGAGGATTAGAGTAACCGTATTTACCCTATGGTTACCAAGAAATAAATTATGACTTCCAGACTGAATTAGTCAAACTATCAGCTGTTAGTTGACTGTTATGATTATCACAACCAGGATGTGGATAACCAAGAAAGAGCTAAGTGACCGTATTAAAGTTACCAAAGGATTACCCAAACTGTCATGTGTGCTTTAAGGCATACAAGTAGTTGATGTTTCAAGGTGAACTCATTTATCTTATCTGACTTCAAAAGAACTTCACCTCTGTAAAACTTGTTTCTGTCACGGCGGCTGGCTCCACCAAGGTATTCCACTTGCTGTTACTATCTTATCCACTGTCCTACATAATACTGGCATGACAACATGATGATCAAGCTGTTGCACTTCAGAACAGTTTTTGAAGGAAACCGGATTTATTAAGTCATTTACTGACATATGTGTCCAAGGCAATACAAGAATCTATCTTTGTTTATGCAAGCATGACATGTTGACCACTTCGTGTACACCAAGAAGATGTCCAATAGCTTCAACCATACACTCTAGATTGGATGACAGGTCTTTAAGTCTGAAAATCAAATATATCATATTTATCTTCAATACCACTCCTGCCGCCCCATCTGCAACCATAATACCCTTAGGACTACAGCTGAAAAAGAAATCTGATACCTTTCAGTACGTTGTTGGTTGACGTTGCCTGACAGTGAGCTGCTAACCAAGAAAGTAGTACTAAAAGTGTGTGGTAAAGCAGGCTATACTCAGCAGTTATCCTTATATATAACAAAACCTTCCGGTGAGGTCAGGATCTACAACAGCCATATACCTGGTTTTCTAAACTTACCAGGCTTCTCCCGCCTTTACTTGCTCAGCATCAGACCAGAGATCAAGACAACACATCTATTTCTCGCACATTCTGAAACTCTCAACACCCAGACAATAAGTCTTTATATAATACTCTGTCAGTCGAATATTTCACAGATTCCTCGGGAAGCGGTGCTGTTTGATGGAACTTAACTTTGAAGTTTCCATAAGCTCATTGGCACCAAAAGGCCCGTCTAATTTCCTCATTATATGTCGGAATGAGTTATGACTTCCAATTTGAGTTTATACTGTGAAGAAAAAGAGCCTTTCCATGCAGATTCCAACTCACATAAACTCTGTATTCTCCTTCTGCCCAATGCAGTACAGACCTGTGACGGTTAATCTGTTGCTTGAAAGAAAGCTAAATGGACTTCCCGTTATATTTCATAGTTTTGAATAACAGTTTGGAATGTCACCTGCGAGGTTAGAACCCGATTATTCCCGATTCTTCCCGGATGTATGGCTACCAGAGGACGTGTCGTAAAAGAATACCGACTAGCTTCGTGAATGTCCTGAGGATTTAGAGCAACACCTATCACGAAACCCAAAAGAACTAGATATGTGATATCGTCTATGTCTGACATGCCTTTTCCTCGACAACAACCTCCTGCGTGGCCTTAGTGGTGTCCTTTGACCAAGAAGAACTAGATCGGTAAGTTTGCATCTCCTATACATTGAGGGTGACCTTGACCTAGATGGACTAAGCCGGTAATGTCTTCTGTGATTTCGTTGTTTCCTTTCTCTTGAGGTTGATAATAACATAGAACAACTAAATATATTAGCGGAAAAAAGAAAGTGTGCATGCGGGGAATTGTTATAGAACATGTATTACCAACTGTATATACATGAAAATTCACCCACATGACCGAGTATGACACATACACACTATCCGGGTGTCATTGACAGTTTTCCCCGTGCAGTTTGCTATCTATAGGCGTTGACCAGTTTGCACGTTTTTCTCGTCCAGCCATCCAATTTGACAATGAAAGTTTATTTTTCAACTGTTGGGTCACTCTGTTGAGACCAGTGAACAGTAAAAACAGCATTATAACGTTTTAATTTGTGATTAATGCTATGCCGAGGCGTAATGGTATGCTTCAAGCTGGCATGGGCCAAGCCGTTGTCTCTACACGTTTTCATGTCCATCGAAACACGCGTGTCCGTGACGCGTGTGTGGTACAACGACGTTCTTTCGGCGGATGCAGCGTTATGATTTGGGGCGGCATCACAGCCAACGGGATAACGCCTCTGGTGGTTGTTAACGGGAATTTAAACGCGCTACGTTACCGTGACGAGATCCTCCGGACCCACGTCGTTCCATTCGTGCAAGGGAAGCAACGTCACATTACGCTACAGCAGGACAACGCCAGGCAACACACAGCTCGTGTCGCGATGGAATTTCTGACCCAGCAGAACGTTGACGTATTACCCTGGCCTGCTGTATCTCCCGATCTGTCGCCCATTGGACACGCCAGGGCTGAAATGAAGCGCAGATTACGGGCCTTACCTAATCAACCGGTGACGTTGGCTGAGTTGGCTGCAACGTTAGTACAGATCTGGAATGCCATCCCACAAGCATTCTTGAACCGTCTGATAGGCTCCATGCGTCGACGTTGCCAGGCTTGCATTCAGGCAAACGATGGACATACGAGGTATTAACTTTGTGAACTCAGTATTTACCCCTGCTGTGTTCACTCCCGAGCGGAACTTATTGATTCTATAACGTGGAAAATGGAATGCAACTGTTAATAAATAACAAATAAATTGTCCCTGAAAACGAAAAATGGCCAGGTGAACGTTGTTGTCGTCTTGATATTAACTAAGGAAGAATGATATTGTAATTTGTTCC